ATTCCGGGATCAATTCTGTCGAAAATATTTTTTTTCTAAATCCGGGATCATTTCTACTATTTTTATCGAAATTTTAGTATACGGGATCCATTCTGCAATTTTTACGGGATCTTTTCAGCTTTTTTCCGCAGATGAATATTTAATTGTCGATGGAAAATTGCCATTTGACAAAAGTAAAAGAAACTTAATTGAATAAAAACTATACGTTCCTTATACAAATACGTTTCATATTTACTCATGATGTCTGTTGAAAATTTTTTTAATGACTCTGTTTGATTTTCACTAAACGTAAAAGAATTATAAGATGTTTTAATCATGGGTGAATTGATCAGTTGCGAACAACTCATTTCGTTTGATTCCGAAGTTCTACTGGAATATTATTCGATATTTCCCTAGTAAGAATCTTGATAGTATCTTTAGAAAAATCATCCCTTTAGGATTTAATTTAGAATCCTAATAAAATCCTATAGAATTCTGATAAAATCCGGTATACACGAATGTCGCAGGATTGACTAGAATATAGGAGGATCCGAATAGGATCTTAACGAGAAAATGTAATAATTGAAACTTAGAGAAAATCTTAAGCACTTTTTATCTATTTCCTACAAGGATCTTATGAGATCATAAAGTTAGGATCCCAGTTAGAAATAGATAGGGAGTGCATAGGATTTTATCTAGGGTTAATTACATTTCACCGTTATTTGCTGACATTCCCCTCGGTATTTTGCTTACTAAACTATTGATAAGTCAGCAAATCAATATCTACCCATCTCACTTTTACGGTTCAGTAGTAACCGGTTAGTTCATGGTCCCTATAAAGTATAACTCATTCTACACTTTGTTTGTATCTTTTTTTATGCATGGTGCTTTACGATTTTATTTAATTTTCGAAAAATGATTTATTTTAATTAAAACTCATTTTGGTGTTGTATTAATAATTTCATGACATGATACGAACTGCTGAGCCCTAGAAAACATCACCTATGGGAAGAATCTAGATACATTTCGTCTGTAATCGGGTAATACACGACTAGTTGCCATCTAGATTACTAGTAGTTGGAAAAGGACTTTTAACTAGATGTGCCTGCATGTGGAACTAGCAATAGTTAAATCGATCGATTATCAAGCGATAAATCAATAGTTACAACCAGAAGAAATCTGGCAATCGCCCGATCATTAGATTTCCACTGTCGTTACCCAATAGTTGTAATCGAGTTAAAATCTAGTAATCTAGATGAATCGGATGATAGTAGATTTTTTTTGACGCTTGGGAGGCGATTCGAAGAATTTTGCCTAGCTTTGTTTCAATAATACAAGCAACAGAAGAAAAATATTGTTGTCGTATGCTTATTCATAACACATATTGTAAATCCATGAGCACTGCGTAGTCAGATCTTTCCTAGTGTTTCTCTCTGTATAAAGTAAACGATCTTTTGTGTGTAATTGAGAAAAGTTGGTGATCAAAAAAACTGATACCATTTTTTTAAAATTCTCTTCAAAATAACAAAACATTGAATTTAACCGGCTTGTTTTTGTATGAAAGAGTTATATGGATATTACACTATCGAAATTTACACCGTGCCTTTATTTTTTGCTTTCCATGCCTGTATAATTAATATGTATGAGGAAATCCGCATGCTGAAGGAGTAAAAGTGTAAATCAAATTAACATGACGTGTTTGATAGTATTTGATTCGTTTTTAATATATAGGATTGAATAAAACCAAATTCATATATGGTTGATTATTGAGTTTTTTATGCCATATTTTGCACAATATGAAAGCAAAGGTAATAAAAAAAAGTCCTCGTAATGGAAGATGCATAATAAAATCAAATTATTACATTTTTTATTTAGAAATAATGATGATATGAGTCACACTATCCACTCGTAATAAGCACATACTTTTAAAAAAATGGAACAAAAATTTACTATACTATGACATTTTCTTTCTTTTCTATTTGCTTTTTCTTGCCCTTTTTTTTATTTCTCTTTTCTACCTACTCTCAAAACAGGTGAAAACAAAAAGAAAAATAGAATTGTTAAAAGGTTAGTTGTACTATGACAGAAGGAAAACAAAATCTATAATTGCGTCTCTAATAAAATGATATATATAATGTGTCTATAGAATTCCATCTAAAAACAGAAAGAATCAATATTTTAGTGCATACGTATTATCAAAATAAAAATAAAAATTTTCAAGACCCATACAAGTGATAAAATGTCAAATTTAAAAGTTGGTTCGTACGATAATTTAACACTTCGATCAAATGAACATTCATTTTTGGGTTATCAATCACCACGTGATCATTACAATAGTACAATGTCAAGTTTAGTCTATGAAACAGATTCAGGAATTGTTGAATCATCGTCTGACACAAATTTAGATGATAGTCTTTCAAGATATAAACATAAAAAACCACGAACAGTCTTTGAATCAAGTATGTAGTATACAAAAAATAAGTTAATTATCGATATTACACTGTTGTTTTCGATTTTTCAGAACTACTATCATCATCGGAACCACAAATATTCATAGAACCAACTAAATCTCCATCATACGTTAGTGAACGTTCATGGTATCAAAATGAACCTCAAATGTATTACACTAAATCAACTGTCATTGGCTGGAATACACCTGCAACTGTTGAAAATCGTGTAACTAGAACAAGTTACGATGAATATTATGACAGATTATTAGGTTCACATGATTATGAACAGCCTTCTTATACCAATTATCGACCGATATATGATAATTTATCAGGTTCACGTGATTATGTACAGCCTTCTTATACCAGTTATCGACCAATATATGACTTAAACACACCTAGCAGTACACCACGGCATTCATTATCAACGAATAATCGTTATTATAATATTCGAAAACTTTCCTATGATACAATTTTATGTAAAAGAAATAATAACCAATTTATTGCAAAACGAAGCGAAGAAATTCCAGAATGGATTAAGCGTTTAGTTGCAATGCTTCCTTCATAACCAAATATCTTTATTTGTGTACATATATGAATAATAAATAAATATACGTAGAATAAATTGATGTTGAACAATGGTTGCATGAATAAATACTCATCTAGCTATCTTTCAAAAGAGATACAGAGGATTATATCTCTTGTGGGAATATCTCTTATAAAAAACATATTTTTAAATGAATATATTGATCTCTTTCAAAAGAGATACAAGTATGGTTGTCCTTTAATTAAAAAATCTCTGAAATTTTCAAGCGTTATGTCAATAATTTTTATGTCCATTTATCAATTTCTTGTACATATCTAATATATTACTTTCGTGCAATAAATAAATATTGAATAATGACGATATGAATTAATATATCCTTCGTCGTCATCCCTTGTCATACATGAATTACGAGTTTTATGAAAATCAGTTAAAATAAGAAATGTGATACACATTTACTTTAAATCTATATAACAAGTACAAGGGAGCTGACTTTTTATTTGTATTTCTTTTGACAATTATAAAAATTCATCAATCGAGTAAAATCAAGTCTTGTCAGCATCTTTTTTCTCAGTTAATGTAAAATATTGACGAAATAGCTAGTAATTGAAGTTTACACGATTAAGAATGAGAGATAATCATCACAAATCGATGTTAACATCTGCTTAGTTTTGAGATATCGTTCGGTTTCATATATTTGATTGATGATTGCTATAGCTACATCACATATCATCTCATTTTACAGATTTTAACTTTTCTATGTGAAATAACCACACTAAATACTTTATCACGCTACCATGTTATACAGTTTTGCTATGCATAGAACATTTAAAACATATTTCCTCTGTTTTACCAGTGGTGCAATTCAAATTCATCTAGCCGCTGATCGTAAAAAGTTTGCTGCACCATTTTACGTTATAATGACTATTGCCAGTAATCTACTTAGCATGAAGTTATCGCTTTTAGAATATCATACTAAAACAGTTCGTGTCTTTTTGCCATAAAATAAATAAAAAACTTTTTATTTTGTCACCCCTCAAGCAAATAAAGCAAGATAAGAACGGTGTGTCTCAGGCAGTTAGTCATACTCCTACTGAACATCAGTTCTATGCTGTTTTTGGATAAATTATACTTTGAATAGTTCAAAAATACATCCGCCAGGTGTATTTTTGAAGTGAATATGATTCTTTCAGTAAGTTACTGAAAGAGTCATTCACTCTAACGATTGTTAGTTTCGTGTTCTTTTCTAAGCCTCCTTTTTTTCTGAACATTATATTTTTTTGTCATTTTTCCGGTGTACTCACCTAACGCTTAATATTGGAAAACTATAAACAATTAATTTATTATTTTTTCTTTGTTTAATTTTTTTCTTCTGTGAGAATGTTAAACAGATTTGTTATCTAGCTGTGATTTTCAAGTGATCTCAGAGAAAAAGAACGAAAGAGAATAATATCAAGGTTTAAGCCTATGGCTGTTTCTCTATTATATCCGATAAAGGGAAAGAAAAAAATGAGCTTAAATCAGAAAGTGGAAACGAAATATAAAAGATAACGCAGAAGCAATAACCTGACTATTAAGGTAACTGTATACATCAAACGTAGTTTAAAAAAACTACAATTATTGAGATGCTACAACAAAAAATAGGTGCGTCATTTGAAAGAGATAATTATAAATGCTACCTATCATACTAGGATTTTGCTTTAATTTCTTAGGATCCCAAGAAATCCTACAGAATCCTAATGAAATCAGGTATATTCGAAAGTCGTACAATTTTCTAAGATTCAGTTGGATTCTAAACAAACTTAAGAGAAATCCTAGAAGGATTCTAGCATTTTAGGATTCTGCTAGTACGTTTTAGGTCCGTAGCAAGGACGTTTAGATCTTAAACGTTAGGATTCTATAAGCTCCTAATAGGAAAGAGACAATAAGTACGTAGGACTTTGTCAGGGCATAGGCTAGAAGATAGTTAAAGAAACTATAATCTTTTTTACTATTTTCTGCCACATCCAATATTTCCAAGATTTGATTTTCTCTTTCTACAAAAACATAGCCACTTGATCTACTTTGTTTGAATATATGAGAGGTAGCCAAACATGACTATGACACATAGTCGAAATTTCGCTTTCTTTATATATCGTAAACAGTTCACAACGTAGTTGTGAGGAATATAATGAATGTGAGAAATATGAGGAACGTGAGGAATATGAGAAACTTGAGGAATATGAGGAAAATGAGGAATATAAGGAAAATGAGGAATATGAGGAATATGAGGAATATGAGGAAAATGAGGAATATGAGGAATGTGAGAAAAATGCGGAATGTGGAATCCCAGCAGAAATCTGATGCAGTGCAACATCAAATGTTGTTCAGAAATTCACTCTCATCCTACTAATCGCGCCCCCCACAATGTGCGATTCCTCATATTGCTCACATTCATCATGTTCATTGTTCGAATATGAAATGTACCGGAGTTCATACATGTAAGTAAATAGCTGTGTGTAGCCATTTGAGAGTATGTTTCATACTTGATTTTGTACTCTTGAATCTCAAATATGTATAATGTTTATGTTTGGCCATCTTTGCCCCGAGATGCATCGAGGACTCGAAAGTCCCCAACATTTCTGTTTGATGGTTCGGAATTTTTCCCGAGGGTTCGCTACCTATCTGAAACCCGAGATCTTCATATCGATAACCTCTCGAATGCTTATATCGAGGGTCCGAAGTCTTATTTTTCGAGGGATCGAGCCGTCGCCGAACCCATCGAACAACTTTTCTTGTCTGCACGGGTAGCTTTTCCATTGAGATACCTACAATTTATCTTTTACGAATGTGTTTCAGTTACGAACTACCTATTACTGGAACGTTTCATCCCTCGAATGAGATAGTCTCGATTGGTTCGGTCCCATTTCACCGACTAATTAATTTTTTTATTGATTCGTCGACATTTTATAGCGTCGGCGGTCCACAAACATCTTTCATCTCCCAAAATGTTGTCGACAAATCAGGAAAAAAATTAATGAGTCGACAAAATGGGAATACACCTCTCGATTGATGGAATCTAATCAACTCGTAAGAGACCAAAGTTTGCAGTGAAAATCAATATAGTGTATGAATTTGTGTCCTAGTTAAGAAGCAAAAATTTTAATTAAACATTCAATTTTCAACTGAAATTTATTTTCAAACTCCATTCAACTCTTCTCATTTTTTTTACCTCATGTGTAACGAGATTTATTAATTACTTTTTTAAATTGGTTAAAATATTCTGCAGTAGAAGACGAATAAAAATAATTAAATTTTAGCGTACATTGCATGACAAAGTTAAGAGTAAAATAAATAATTGTGATTTATTGATAGTAGCAGCGTTTTCTCGTCAATGATTTTATTCTAAACTGTGGCTAGCGGAATCATTGAGATTGGCTAAAAATGATACTCAAATCATATATATAAACTAAATCAATCGATAGTTAGTCAACTATTAGAAAAATGCTATGTATCATTCTTACTGATGATCTGGTATAATGTAGGAAGTCGGATAAACATTATCCATCTGACCCGTATACGCCTAGGCTTTAGCTTTCTATTAGCAAACCAATATAAACGTCATTTCGTTGCGACACCAAATTGTAGTCATTATAACAAGCCTGAAACAGCGGAGCACTACTTTTTAAAATGCCTTCGATTTGTTCAGAAAAGATCTATATTGTTGAATAATATAAAATCGATTACCGCAATACCACCAACTACTGAACTCATTCTAAAAGGGTTAATTAATCTTACCCCAGAATAAAACATCCTTATCGTAAATAATATTCACAAATACATCGTTGACACTAAAAGAAACACTTAACATTCTTTACTTCTTGTGCTACTCTATCTATTGTGTATTATGCTTTTATTTTTGCCCTATTAGGCCTATAAAGACAATTGTGAACAAAAAAAAAAAAAAGGAAAGAGAAGTTAGATATAAAAAGTTAAGAAGTTGGACAATTAAAAAGTTCTACAAAGATTTAAAAAGGATATGACCGGGGCGAGAGAGAGAGAACAGTTCACAAAAACGAATCAGGAAAGACACAAAAATTGTCAAACTCTGTTTCAGGTAGCTGGATTTTAGACTCCACATAGCACATTTTTGAATAACAGAGAGATGCGGAGCTAAACGTTTTGAACGAAAGAGCTTTTTAATAACAAATGCTTTTAGCAACCACTGTTCTCTATACACATTTAACGCATAAGGTTCGTATAGGAGGGCACCATCAGTTGTAAGTTCTAACGCCCGCCAATATTTTTTCCAATAGGAGGCGCAATGATCCTCAAGCGTTAATTCTTTGTACATAAATGCGAAGGTGAAATCATTCCACAAAATCGCGCCATACACTCGACGTAAACAAGTACAATAAAAGTGGGAAAAATCTGACTGCTGACATTCTGTAAACAAGGGGAAGATAGGGAAAAGCCAAGTAACTAGGTAACATACGTAAAAAACAACATTCGTTTAAATTCTAGACTAGTACATCCGTTCACTCTGCAAGATTTTATCATAGCGATCCTTTGCCTAATTTTTGTTTTGGATATAGATATCCCCTTCCCCCATCTTAGTCTAAAAGTTAACCAGTAGCCTAAATATTTAAAACTAGTTACTCAATCTATTGTTATATGTAGAGAGGAAAAGTTTTTTGTATATTACAATCCTCGTTAAATAAATTAAACTATATATACTGATGATTAGGCATGCACCACTTATAACCGATAAATTTCATCTTGTTTCTAAAACGGATTGCATAAAAAGTATGCATATCAAAATTTTTCTAACGACTGGATTACATTTTTCTACAAAATGAGCTGTGGCGAAAGTCTTCATACTTTCTATTTCTGTATTTTGCTTTTTAATGAAGAGTCCTAAATCGGTTATTAACTGATCATCAGACTTTTAAGAAAACTTTTTTTTATAGATACTGTATCAAAACAAAGAACACTCTTATATCTTTATTATTGTAGAAAAATGTTTGCTCTACAAAACCCAATAGTTAGAAAAATTTTAGAGAATCAATTTTCGTTGAGAAATACTTTTTACGAAAAAAAAATGTATAATTTCAATCGGTTATAACCGGTGCATGTCTGCTGATGGTAATAATAGATGTTTAGGCTATTTTCATGCAAATAATTTAGTCAAATTTACATTGTTTGACAACTAGATAATTTTTTATTGCATATACACTATACACTACTAATTAGTAAAATATATAATATTATCCATGACGTGTGTTTATATCTGCCTGTTTTTATATAGAAAAAATTGAATTTTTATAATTAGGTGAATAGAGACGATGATTAATCGATAAGACATTGTTTCTTATTGTTTAGTATAATAAGACAATGATAAATACAATATATTCGTTTGATAAATAACATTCATGAACGAGATATAGATCATAAAATGACCCGTCGTTATAGGTTAAAATAACAGTTCAATATACGTTGTAGGCATAAGCTTAAACTGGAAAAAGAATTCTGAGAAAATTACAAAATATGTCTACACAGAGCAACAAAAAAAAAAATTATATTTGATATTGATCTTTTCAGAAAATATGTACAATAGGAAAAGACTCTTAGAATATAGTGAAATAGTAATTAAATGTCTAGTTTTTGTTTTGTTTTATGCAAACTTTATCTAATTATCAAATAGTCTAAAAAGTACAATAAAAGTTTCATTAAAAAAAAAAATAAGTTAGTTCCTGTATCATCATCTATTTGATTGTTCATCATCTCACTATCTACATCTGCATCTTTTATATATTTTATAAGTAAAAGGTTTTTTGTTTTGTTCTTTTTTGCGACCGGAACTAAAAAAAACCTTGGTATCGTTCATGTCTAGTAATGATGTTGTAATATATATGCCTCTATTATATTATTCGAAAATTTATGCTTCCATTTCAATGATTCACCTTGAATCATTTCACTCTTTTCTAACACTAATTAGTATTGTCTTCTGATTAGATATATATTCAAAAAATACAAGAAGAAGTGATTGACCTTTGGACATACAAATCATAATTTCTTAGTCTTCATTCTTCTCTATATTTTTTTCTTTTTTTTCTTTTTCCTTTTTTCTAGTATAAAGATATGATGTGGTATTTAATTTTAATTACAATTTATTTTATGCAAGAACAATGTTCATCAACATTTTCACCATTCACTAATTTATGTCTATTAGTTCAAACAAATTATTCATGTCGATGTCTTATTCCAAAAACACTTTATTGTTATAATTTAAAATTAGATCATATTCCACAGTTACCATTATCAAATAAATTTATTCAATGGAATAATTGGATATTAGCAAAAAATAATTTTAAATATTTATCAGCTCATTCATTTATTGGTCATACTATTCATACAATTGATTTAGATTCAAATTATCTTTCAACAATTGATATTAATGCATTTATGGGTATTAATGGTTCATCATTACGTCAATTAATTTTATCAAATAATAATTTAAGTTATTTACATTTATCTATATTTAAACATATACCCAATTTACAAACATTAATTTTAAATGGTAATCGATTACAATCATTAACTTTTACACAATTAAATAATTTAGAAGTACTTGAATTAGATCAACAAAAGAATGATAAAGATGAATTTTTACCTAATTTATCAGCTATAACATCACTTTTAACATTAAGTTTAAAATTTAATCGAATAAAATATTTATCATCATCACATATATTTCCATCAAGTTTACAATCGTTAAAATTAACGGGTATATCTTCAATATTTTTTACTCAATAAATATCATCAAAATAAATTTTATTTATTTTAGGTAATTTTATTCGTCATTTATCATCACGTTTATTTCGTTTTGTACCAAATTTACGATATCTTTATTTGGATTCAAATAGAATTGAAACAATTGATTCCAATGCTTTTTTGGATATTAAATATTTACTTGAACTTAATCTAGCTGGTAATCGTTTTAAAACTATACCAACATATTTTGTATTAGAAAAATTACCATATTTAAAAATATTTAATTTATCATTTAATCAACTAACTATTCTTCTACCAAATTCATTTGATACTCTATTAAATTTAGAAGAATTAGATTTGGGTCAAAATCAAATTTATTCACTATCATCACATACATTTTGTACAAATAAAAGTCGTTTTCAACAATTATCTGTTGATTTATCATCAAATTCATTAACAACTATTGACTATTGTACATTTTCAAATAAGAATATTAAATTTATTAATGTTGGTTATTCAAGACAACTTCGTTGTTCATGTTCATTAGATAAATTAAAATTGATTGATCAAATTGAACTTAAAGGATATTGTAATTCGAATCAACATATTATGTCATCATCGAATCAATTTGAAAAATGTTTAAATTGGACCAATGGTGGATGTAAAAATAGTTGTGAACGTGAAACATATTTTTATCCTCTATCACAAATTGAATTATTACCAACTATTTCGTCATATTCAAACATAATTGAATCAAAAACTAGTAAAAGTTGGCACTATCAAACAAATTTCATGTCAACATTTACTTTGTTGATTTTTCATTTTTCTAATATATTTTAGTTTAAATAGTGAATAAAAGTCATTTTTCTGAAAGATCTCATATATTTGGAAACTTTCGAGAAATAAAATAAGATAAATCAGTTTTTAGCCTGGTACATCTTTTTTGTTTGTCTCAACATTCTTAGAATGTTGTTAGTAGGTTTTTAACTTCTTTGACCTTGAGAGGAGAAACATATGCATCAATTACAAACTCTAAGCAAAAAAATCCCTTAAAAAATGATTGAGACTAATTACAGTCGACCTTGTAGTAGAAAATCACCACTGAGAAAACATTTTAAAATTTGGAAATCTTTTCATAAAATCGGTTGATTTTTATGCATATTCAGAAAAACAAAACGGTGAACGTCCGTCGTAGACTCAGTTTTATCAGAACCTTATTAGGAGAAATTTTTTTTGATTCTCGTGCAGAGTGGGATGCCGCGTAATTTTTACAGGTTTTCTTACCGGATTCTCGATCAAAGGAAGTCGAACCTAAGTAGCACTGGCTCAGTAGACTAACGCATTACCTATGAGCTACGTGTAAATCAGTCTAATCAGACGTAGAAACTTGTTAAAAGCACTATTTTCAAATCAATATCATGTAGCTTCGGTTCGTCGCCGATGCATCTGTTTTCCTTCGTGCATTCATTGCTATAGAAAAATACATTAACAATTAGTAATTAATATTGCAAAGCACTTGTACATCTTAATTGAATAATACAATGTACCAGTTGCTAAGGCCGTCTCGGCCGTCTCATATCAAGACAAAAACCAAAGGCAATAAATTTGAAAACTTGCAGATGTGGAGCCGAATTCAACGCGAGAACGCTTTAATTCGGTTTTATGCGCTCGACCTTATTCATTTCTATTTTTTATCATCAAAATTTGACAGTTGAAGTCAAGAACAAGGATAACATTTGCCGACCTGATTGAGATGTGACAAAACTTTAAAAATTTTTGAAAATCTGGCTACACATACTAAGTGTCTAAGAAAAACAAAACAATGAAAGGCATTCGTCATGAGAGTCACGCCGCTATTATGTGTTATATCGTGAGAAAAAATCGTCATCGCAAAGTAATTTTAAAACTTAGTATTACCGTTACATAGGTATCTTACTTATATCATAGAAAGGTGGCTCGTATCAGTTGTACGTCTTTAGTCAGACATCGGAATCTATGCATATACTCAAAATGTAAAGTTTTTTTAAAGTAATACAAGAAACCCAATCAAAAGAAGCTTGGGAAGAAGTGTTAGTTTTCACAAAATCACGACAGCTAAAAACAACAGTCTTTCGTCTATTATTGAATAATAGTTTTCTCACAGAAGTCGATGAGCATGTTCATTTAGGGCTCTTGTTCTCACAGGACATGCTATGGACGAAGCACATTGACCAGCTATGTACTAGTCAGAGTCCACTTATGGGTCTCTTGACTAGACATAAGTGGTGGTTGAACGGGAAAGCTTTGAATACTTTATATCAAGCATATGGCATGTCAACCTTGAACTGTGGCTGTACGATCTATTCCTTGACATCTGACTATAACATTGACAAACTAAGGAAAATTCAGCATCAAGCCTGTCTGACAGTTTCCGGAGCTATGCGCACCTGCTCAACATAAAATTCTACAGGATCTTCATTGGCTTGCTCTCACTGATCGTTTTCTGAGAATGAGACTCACGCTTTTTCGACGCATAATCACAGGACGTGCGCCTGCATGTTTAACTGAACATGTTAAGCTTGCCCCGTTGAATACCAGATATAACACTCTCTAAAAAATATGGTTCCTAACGAAACCTTTTTCTGCTTGAGGTTTCGAATTCGTTTCAAATGTAGAAATCTTTTGGCCTACGAAACCTAAATGGTTTGCTAAAATCTATTAAATTCTAAATCGTTCTGTAATGACCTGCGAAACCTTAAATAGTTTCGTTAATTTATGCGAAACCTGAACGCGGTTTCGTACAAAACTGCAAAAGGTTCCGTACGAAACTTTCTCGGATTTGCAATCTAATGAGTTTCGTACGGAACCTTTTTGAAGTTTTGTACGAAACCATGTTCAGGTTTCGCATAAATTGACGAAACTATTTAAGGTTTCGCAGGTCATTACAAAACGATTTAGAGTTTAATGGATTTTAGCCAAACCGTTTTAGGTTTCGTAGACCAAAAGGTTTCTACATTTGAAATAAATTCGAAACCTCAAGCAGAAAAAGGTTTCGTTAGGAATCTTTTTTTTAGAGAGCACTCGATCTAACAATCGTCGACTCTATGTTGTTGATCATTTGAAAGGAACAGCAATTATACAAACATTTTTTGCATGTATGCCACTTGAATGGAACAACCTATCTACGGGAATCTCAGCATCTACTTCTACGACAAAGTTCAAAACCAAATTTGAATCGAATGTCCCGCGGTCTCTTGAAGCTTTCTTCACGCGACGTCAAGCAGGCTTCCCTCCATTGCGCAAAATGCTAAAGGAAAAAGTTTTCTAAGTAACGGTGAACCTGATGTGTGCGATTGTGGCCAAACTGAAAGTCTTTCTCATTACTTTCTTAATTGTGATATATATAAAACCCAAAGAAGAGAATTGTGCGAATCGTTACTGTCTGTTGGAGCTTTTAGTCTAGATCTTGTGCTCCTGAGAATTCACAAGGACTTGGACTCAATGAAGTTGATTACTAGTGCTGTTACAAAACATATTAAAGAAACAAATCGCTTTAAATGATTCATCATCTACCAAACCAATCAATTATTTTTATTTCTATACAATCGAATTCCCTCAGATTTGTGTCACCGTTCCCCTACCCTCTCTTTATTATCATTTATCCTTGCCTTTTCTTCACTTCTTCATTTCTCTTTTCCTTTTGTTGTCTTTTTTACGCCATTCATTCACTTGTTGATTATTTCTGTTCTTATTCTTCAGCAATCTAATTCATCATTCAACATTTTGTCGCCAGGTAAGAATGTTATAATGAGCAATCGCTCGGCTATGTACTCACTTGTATTATTATTTTGAATAAAGTTTATGTAAAAAAAAAGAAGCTAACTCGACATTTATTTTCTATTGTTTAAACATTATTATGAAAAACTGTGATTATGTATAAATATGAATAAAATGATAAATCCAGGGGCGTCTATCCCCACCTATATATTTGAGGCATTTTGTACTACCTCGAAGGTTCGATCACTCAGTGTACCACCTAAAAAATTAATGTCTACAGCAAAAAAGCGTACTACCTTACGTTTGTTTGAGGCATAGAGCCTCAAACATCCCACAGGATAGACGCCCCTGGATAAATCTTAGCTTTAAAATACATATCAGCTTTACTAACTTTATGTAATAATTTGTCCTATTTTTTCACATGTTTATACGGTCGATTTTAGCCAAAAACTAACGAAGACCGCATCTCTCAATCAGTTTTCTCTCAAAAGTTATTCAATAAACATTCACAGTTATAAAATAGACGATGTATAAGATTTACTTATTATAGGAAGGAAAAAAAAACGCCCAACGTGGGGCTCGAACCCACGACCCTGGGATTAAGAGTCCCATGCTCTACCGACTGAGCTAGCCGGGCACATTACTATTCCTGCTGGATGGACAATTTAACTTTCGAATTCGTACTCTTTCGTGAATTATCATACCTGTGTTAGTGTGTTATACTATAAACATTTCAGTAAGGTTATAACTTTTATTAATAAAAAAATCATCAGAATCATTGATTAGAACACAAAAATACCCCAAGCACAGTTCTGTGATTCGAATTGACTTTATGGATATATGTTGATGTAATTAGTTTCTACGCTAATTACATCAACATAGTATCCGTAAAGTATCGCAAAACAATCGTATTGTAGTGGAATAAGAGAACTAATATTATTCTAAGAATCGAATAAATCATCCATAATTAACTGTAACTTTATGTAGCAGAAAAGCATAATATTCAACATACTCTCACCAGATACATCCAGAAGTGGACAACTCCGATTTCAACTCCCATCATAACCCTTGGTATAACTCCATAGGAAGCCTCAATATTGTCTTAAAACACAGTCTAACTCCGATAAATTTTGCATAATTATTTGATTTCACCGAAAATCCGCTTAACTCCGAAATTGCCAACTCAGACTTCTGCTGGAGTTGTCCATCTCTGGATACATCTAGCTCATATCAACGTTAATAAAAAATTAAGTTCATTTAGAGTTCTGGAAAAGTACTTTTTTCCTATACAAATTTTACTATTTAACAGAAAAACTTAATAACTTTCTGTTCTATATATGTCGAGAAAATGATGGAAGAAAAGGAAAGAAAATCAAAATCTGTCTAGCTTCTTTTTCTTTCGAAATGTTCTTTTGCTTAAAAACCTTGTGGAAATACGTATAATGGAATAGACCTATCTGCTCCATTAAATTTAGGTGAATTTAAACGAACAGTCAAAGATTCGCTAACTAACAATCGGTAGTTATCTGTTATTTCTAGTCAGTATCCTAATGTCATTACCCAAGCGTCAAAAAAAAATCTAGTATCGCCCGATTCATCTAGATTATTAGATTTTTACTCGATTGCAACTACTGTGTAACGACAGTGGAAATCTAGTAACTGGGCGATTACTAGATGCACCTGCAGGCGCATCTAGTTAAAAGTCCCTTTTCCAACTAGTAATCTAGATGGCAACTAGTCGTGTATCGCCCGATTACAGATGAAATGTATCTAAATTTTTCCCATAGGTGATATTTACTTGGGTAAAGTTAATCTAATGCTGTGTTTAAGAATCGTGTCTCTACTTGATTGGATTCATATTCATATTCATGGATTCATAGTCGATTTGGATTCATATTCTTCTTGCGGTTTCTCCTTATAGTACCCAAGCATCAAAAAAACATCTAGTATCGCCCGATTCATCTAGGTTACCAGATTTTTACTCGATTGCAACTACTGTGTAGCGACAATGGAAATCGAGTAATCGGGCGATTACTAGATTTTTTCTAGTTGCAACTATCAATTTATCGCCCGATAATCGATCG